TGGGAGGGAGCCACCAGGCTGGGGGAGGCTGGGATTTGGGGTGGGTGATGTGCTGCAGCCACCCTTGTGTGGGTCTGTGTGATGAGCTGGGTTAGTTCTCAGCCTGGGCTGCAGCACTGGGGGCACAGTGGGGACATTGGGGGGGGCACAAGGATGCTTGAGCACTTAGATACCAGAGAGAGGGAAGGCACTGCTTGTGCACTGACTGCAAAGAGCTTCTCCGAGGGATTAGACCAGATTCTATATAAATATAATATATATTTGCTCCACTGCTGTGTCTGCTCTGTGCTGGGACCCCAGGGCAGGGGGAAGGTGGGTGTCCCCCCAATCCCAGCATGCAGGTAAGGGGGTTGGGGTCTCTGCCTGCACCTATAGCAGTAGGGAGGAGCTGGGAGCAAGCCCCCCTACCCCAGGGTGGGGGTCCAGGGCTTGGTAAGCCTCCGTGGCACAGGGCAGGGGTTTGGTGCTCCGGTGACACCCCACATGGCCTTGTCCCTGTTCCTGGGAAGGTCAGGGCTAGATATCCCCCTCCCTGCTCCTGGTGTCCCTGGGAGGTGTTGGGGTTTATTGGGGGCTGTTGGCAGAGGCCTTTGTCCTGTGGAGGCCCAGGTGGGCTCTTATCACTCCTCCCCACCCTCTGTGCCTGTTTGCACGGAGATGGGCTTAGCTGTTATCAAGGATTAGCTGTTATCAGCAGCCTGGGAGGGAACCAGCCCCTTCCCCTGTCCCCATGCAGTGGGGACAGCCTGCAGTCCCCTCTCTTCCTGCCTGGGGTGTCCCTGGGGTCTGTGTTTGGGGTCTGCACAGCTCCCCGTGTGCCCTCGGGCTCAGCCACGGGGCTCTCACCATCCCATTCCCAATTTAACATCCCTGGAAATGTTCCAGGCCAGACTGGATGTGGCTGGGGCCACCTGAGCTAGTGGAAGGAGGCCCTGCCCATGGCAAGGGGTGGGACTGGGTGATCTTTAAGGTCGTTTCCCACCCAAACCATTCCATGGCTCTATGACCCCCAGGGAGGAAGGATGATGATGATGATGATGGTCCTGCCCTCTCTCCCCTCCCTCGGCACACGAGAAAAAGGGGAGTAAACGCTTTGAGCCTTCCTGGGAGAGCACAGCTGAGGCTGGGGGCAAAGGAGCTGCCCGGGCAGGGGGTAGTGCCCCCTC